TCTTTTCCTCCCCCCCCCCCCCCCCTACTCCCCTCCGCGTCACTTTTTCTTCTAGAAATGAATCTTTAGAAGCAAAATCAGGAGTGGTGAACCAGGGAAAGGTGCTATTTGCAACATTGTATACACAAATTTTCCTTCCTTTTCTTTTCATATATAAATGTTACTCTTCTTTGTTCCATTTTATGGGATGCAGTTTGACAGGGCACAAAATTTGAAAGAGAAAGTAAGACTTGAAATTTGTGGTCTAAAACAAGTCTTAGATATTTGTGTGATTGTGGTAAGACGAGAATTTTAAAGTTAAATATAGCAAGACATCATTTCTTTTGGGACAACTAAAAACTAAAAATGCATCATATAATTTGGGACAGGTGAACTAGTTTGGAAAATTGTAATCCATCTTTGAAGAAATGCATTTTTTTTCTTGTGTTGTTGGTCGGACTATGGTTCCTGCATCGATAATGTAAATTTGTTTCTATAATTGATTAATGAGGTGTGATTCGAACTGAAAACATTCATTTTGCTTGTATTATTGATAAAGATGTGTAATGATGAATTGGTTGTGAATATAGGATATCTCTTAATTAATACAATTTGAACCTTACAGATATAAAAAACGAACTCATCGTCCAACTGGTTTATTATCTTCAGATTTGAAAACAATATAAATTGAATAGAATTAACCCAAAATCAATTTAAACATGAATCTAATTATGCCAAAAGCAATAGAACAGAACAAATATATGTCCCTCTTTGGACTTTCTAGGCGTTACCACCATTTTACGTTAAAAGGCAATGGTGCACCCGTCACCTTAAAATCCTAGGTTCGATTCTGGTGTTGAGTAAAGTAAGAGTGTTCTAGAGTTCCTAACTCTCTGGATGTGCACATTCTAGTTGATGCATTCATCCTGCTATTAGTAGTGTTCACAATGATCTGCTTCTTTCTAATCTGTATATGGGGTTACAGATTAATCTTCACCAAATTAACTCTAAGCTCCAGAATCGATCTGAGGGAAAAAGAAAACATGTTTACCTGGAAAATGGGGAGACATTCAACTATATTGATAGCCTTCCAGAAGAGAGAAAGCATCCTACTGCAATCACTGGATCTCAGGCTCTCACATCCACAGGTATTCAGCAGCACAAGCAAGTTGATGGATCTGATTTTGGGTATTTTCAGGATGGCTTTTCTTACTTATCTTCAGATTACAGTCATTCAGATCAGACTACGGTTTGTCCAACCCTATCCACAATTAAATCTAAAAAAAGCAGTCTCGTGCCTCTTTCTGCTAAGGACTCCTGTGCGACAAATCAGATGCAGTTGATGTAAAGCTTACCTGATCCTTCTTTTCAGGTGGATGGTATAGGAACAAATGAAAATATGGTGGACAAGCTACTTCACCATTCTGTAATTAAGCATGAAAACAACAGGGATCTTGGAAGTGTCAGCACGGGAATTCCAGCAGAAGTAGGTTCCTCTATTGTAAAGGAGAGCTCTTGCACAAGTTCCGGGTTGAATGAAATTTCTGAGGAGGCAGATAGTTTTCATCAGCTTCAACATGTCATGGAACGGGTATAAAATCTCAATGAAAACTAATATGCATTTTTGATATTGTTTGGTGATGAGTTTCATCAAGGTTTGTTTTAAGTAAGTGATTTGACTAAACAAATTTGGCACACCTTATTTGTGTAGGTCAATAGCTCAAACGACATGTGCAATGCTTTTAGATGGTTCACATCTGAATTAAGATAGTTTCTTAGTCGAGGGACAATATTAATGACGAACATATTTTACAGATTCCTATATTCTGGAAAGGTTAAAGATGTGCAGCTACACACTCTTGTAGCTTCACACAGGCATTGAGAATTATTCCATTTTGTCAGAGAGTTGTCACACAGCATGCTGTAGCAGTGTGCATACATCTGACTTTTTCAAATTATTCTAAATCTGAAATCTTTGTTATTTAATTGAGTCATGTGAAGATGCTGAGTAAAAGGAACTCATTTGGTCCTCTTATTCATTATTTATATTTATACAGATCGCATATTAAATTAGTTTTTGTGTTAGATTAATTAATATTAGTGATGGCGTTTTACTAAGGCTTATTTTAGAAAAATCTTTGTTCATGTAAATAACCTATAGCTATAGCATATAGATATAGAAAAGAGTAGTTGCCTTTCTTAGTGCATGTTTATGTTGCAGATAGCTATGCAGAGAGCTGATTGCTTATTTAGTACAACACACAGCCTTAATATAAAAGCTGTTCCTCATCATCTCGCTGCTTGCTTATTTTAAATTATTTATCAGCTGATGTGCAAAAGCCTTCCAAAGTCTGACTTATCGTTCAGTGTCTTGAAACTATCTTTGTGTTAATCCCTGTTAACTTGGGCTAGGAAGGGGCAGTTAGCAGATATGGTATGTGGTTCTTCAAGTTTATACATTTAGTTGGAAATAAACTTTCTTTTCAGTACATACATGTTTGTAAGCTCACTCTGTTGAGCTTTCTGGTTTAGTTGGATATAAGAACAAAGCTACGCATAAAGGATAGCTTGTATCGGTTGGCTCAGAGTGCTGAACAAAGGCTTAGACATTCTAATCTCAATAATGGATCTGGTGATGAAAGATGCACAAGCGGAGCAATTGTTGACGATGGAGAGTACAGGTTGGAATCATTTCTTGATGCTTTGGTCTACATGCATACTTCCTACATAGGCCATATCATAGTTTGCATAGATCTTATGAAGCACACTTTTCACCTTTGAGTTTGGAAAGAAAGTAGGTCTAGTCAGTCACACCTTCAATGAGCACTTTTCTTTTCTTGATACCAGTAATCATACTGGTAATGTGATAGATTCTGTTAGCTTCCTTTCTGTGGTCCTAACATCCAATCGTATTTCAGGTGCACAGGATATTTGGACATGGAGACAGACACAAACTCTATAGATCGATCTATTGCTCATTTGCTCTTCCACAGGCCTTCAAACTCATCTACGATGGCTGATTCTTCGGCTTTGAAGTCGCCTTCCATGGTAGGTGTTTCTGCATATGCTTCCAAATTTCATGTTCAACAATCTCTATCTCAAACATACCCTGCAACTTGTCAATGAACAGATTTTCGAGACATTACTCAGCCCACCAGTGATTGATGAGAACTTGATTTCTGCTGGAGAAAATGCAACCGAACCAGATAAAGGAACGAAATATTAAAGAGGCTTCGATACAAATGGGTTGTGTTTACTTTCAATTTATGTCGCCTGGACTCGCCTACATGTACGTGCATGTAAGTATCTGCTATGGATACTTATATAGTTTTTTGTTGTTTAGTGTAATTCGAAGAATCTACACAAAGTATGAGGATGAGGGTCTATGTCAAATAGCTTCCAATTACTCGTGTGTTTGTTTATGAGAATTATCAAGAATCTCAAATGAGAAATTATTTCATGTTTATAACACGCTCGTGTGTTCCATGATTTTGATGTTTTATCCCTTGGCACGTTACATCTTCCTCTGTCAATTCAGTTTTAGTTTCACCTAGCAATTACATTCCAAGACTATGCTACTTGGTGCAATCTTTGCCCTTGCCTTGTGAAGGTAGAGAGACTGTTTTCGATGGACTCTCAGCCTATATCTCTGCTCACATGTAAAGTCAAAATCACAAAGACATGCATGTTTTGCTAAAAAGTATCTAATTTGGGCATCATTTCAACTTACATTTAGCATGCAAGATGTTCTTAATTACCAGCATTTGAGTAGAAAATGTGAGCTCTTTTGTGCTTTCTCTTCACTTTGACCCTTCCAAAATTAGCCAGAGAGTTCAAAATTTGTCCGTTTCAGTATTGTGAACTCTCTGGCATTCCCATCAGGAGAAAGCTAAATGCAGTAAGAAGCGAGGGCAGTCCTTTATCGAGTCAATGGGTCGTGACAACATGACAGATGCGGTTCTACACAGTTTTCTGATCGTTGTTTCCGACTTTCAGAGCAGGTAGAGGGAGGATAGCTTACATGCTTTGAGAAACTCCAGTGACTCAAAGTTTTGTCAACTGTTGTACACAGAAGAGGCTGTAATGCATTAAGAACTCATTTGATGCATCAAGGGAGAAGTATTTCCCTAAGGGAATGGAAAAAAAGTTACTTTTTCCTTCTATTTTATGTAAAGTAGTTTGACTCGACACATTTTGAATACTTTTAAATCAAATTTAGATTCACAATGCAGTCAAATTAATGTTTCTGAATATAAAATCGGTTTTTGGTTTTCTAAAAATTATGGACCCTAAGTTGTTTCTCCATAAGAGAGGAATGGACAAGGGGAACTCCCAACTTTTGTGAGCTTTTGTTGGTGTAATATATAAGTTTTCTTTTAAAAATAAACCCCACTTAAATCAATTTTAAAGAATTTCTAAGATGGAACAATTAGGAAAAGGAAATGGAGAGAAAATGTTTTCTAAGAATCTTGACGAACCAAACATGGGAAAATTGGAAAATATTTTCTGGCCATTACCAAACACACCCTTTTTAAGCAGATTCTAAAGTCTTGAGTTTGGGGATTGTATCATAATCAACTTATCATGAATAAGTAATAATCAAGTTAAACTATTTAAAAACATGTTGAGAACAAGTTTTAGCAGATTTTAATTAGGTTGACTTTGGGAATCACATCATAGTCAACTTGTCTAGAAAAGAAAGACAATTAATCATTTATGCATTTGCAAGATAAAGCATGACTGGTCGGTAGTTGCTTCAAAATAACAGCATTTATTTTCTATACCAACTTGTCCTTCTTGTGGACTCCTACAAGTTGTTTAGCCAGAGGGCAGAGCTAGAATTTTGAGTTTATGGATTCTCGATTTTTAATTTTTTTTTTTTTTACTGGATTCTTGATAAAATGCTTATACATATTGAGTGAATTTTTTTAACTGAGTTCTGTCAAATCCATGATCGGCATACTAGCTTAGCCCATATGTGTAGGTTGCTAGCCTCCTCTATATATTCTCAAGTGTTTAGAGGCAAAAACACTACCAAATTTGTTATGCTTCTGAATTCACATATGGATTCAACATTGTTCTCCTTCAATCTTTTAGTAAACAGCTGTAGTTCTCTTCTATTCTTCATTATATGTTTTCTTTGTTTTTCTATGGCATTGTGTCATGGCAATGACACAGATCAACAAGCACTACTTGCATTCAAGGGATCTATAAATGATCCTTTTGGATATATGAAAACATGGAATGCATCCACACACTTTTGCCATTGGTCTGGTGTAACTTGTGGACGTAAACATGTTAGAGTCATTAAACTAAACGTCGAGAACCAAAAACTAGATGGCCCATTGTCATCCTTCATTGGGAACATGAGTTTCCTCAGGTCTCTATACCTGTCGAACAATAGCTTCCGTGGTGAAATCCCTTCAGAGATTGGTCGTTTGAGAAGACTACACCGATTGTATCTTGGTAACAACTCATTTCATGGAGAGATCCCCTCAAATTTATCAAGGTGCTTGAATCTTGTATCCCTTGTCCTTGAAGGTAACAAGTTAGTAGGAAGCCTTCGTCCGGAGCTAGGTTCCTTGTCCAAACTCGAGTACTTGTTACTCACTCGAAACAACTTGACAGGTGAAATCCCTTCTTCTTTTGGAAACTTAACATCATTGATAGGATTCTATGCACCATTGAATAATCTTCAGGGGAAAATCCCTGACTCATTTGGGCAGCTGAAAAACTTAGAAATTATCGGAGTAGCTGCAAACCAATTGTCAGGTACTATCCCTTCTGAAATCTTCAACATATCTTCCATCACAACATTTGATGTTGGAATGAACCAAATCCAAGGTACACTTCCTTCAAGTTTGGGAATCACCCTCCCGAATCTTGAATTATTTATCATCGGTGGGAACAACGTTTCTGGATCGATCCCATCTACATTGTCCAATTCATCAAAGCTAGTGTATTTTCTTGCTGGAAGAAATCAACTTACTGGAAGTGTACCAAGTCTTGAGAACCTGAATGAGCTTCAACAGTTAACAATTCCCGGGAATTATCTTGGAACTGGAGAATCAGATGATTTAAGTTTCATCGCCTCTCTGACTAACGCATCTCGTTTCAGAATTTTGGAGATTCAGTTCAATAGTTTTGGAGGGGTTCTGCCTGCATCCTTCAGAAATCTTTCAACTGAGCTTCAGGTTGTGCAGTTGTCATACAACAGAATACGTGGTAACATACCGTCTGAGATTGGAAAGTTCGTCAACGTGGAAGAATTTCAGGTGAGGGAAAACTTACTTACTGGTACTATTCCAATTAATTTTGGTAAAGTTAAGAAACTGCAGATTTTGGATTTGTCTCAGAATAGATTTTCAGGGAATATTCCATCATCTCTAGGAAATCTTAGTGTAGTATCCATCCTTCTTCTGCACGATAATAATCTCACCGGTGAGATCCCAGCAAGTTTAGGAAATTGCAATTACATGATTGAGATATATGTTGCTAAAAATAACCTGTTAGGACAGATACCTAAGGACCTTTTTGCTCTCTCTTCCTTAGTTGCTGTAGACATTTCTGAGAACCATTTAGATGGTTTCATTCCTCTTGAAGTTGGAAATATGATAAATCTTGAATATCTTAATGTTTCCGTAAATAACTTGACTGGTAAAATCCCAAGTACTATTGGTAGCTGTGTGACACTAGAAGCCTTAGACATGAAAGGGAACTTCTTTCAAGGGATTATTCTTCCTTCTTTCAGCTCTTTACGAGGTCTCCATGTTTTAGACCTTTCTAGAAATAATTTGTCTGGCCAAGTACCAAAATACTTGGAAGATTTCAAGTTTCAACTCTTGAATTTATCATTCAATGATTTCGAAGGAGTGTTACCAAATGAAGGCATCTTTAAGAATGCAACTGCAATATCAGTAATTGGGAATCCAAAACTTTGTGGGGGTGTGCCTGACATACATCTTCCGGAATGTGACATCAAAAGATCAAAAAAAATCGGTTCGAGGTTTATCCTCAAGATTGTCATCTCTGTTGTCTTTGGTATACTAGGACTTGGTATGCTTGTCACTTTACTATTTTGCTTCTTGTTAAAGAAACCGAAAAGGGTGCCTGTTTCAAGTTCATTGGGTGAGTCTCTCATAAATGTGTCTTACAGAAGTTTGCTTCAAGCTACTAATGGATTCTCTGAAGACAACTTGATTGGTGCTGGGAGCTATGGATCTGTTTATAAAGGAACTCTCGATGGAGGAATGGTTGTCGCAGTTAAAGTGCTAAACCTCTCGCGACATGGAGCTTCCAAAAGCTTTATGGCTGAGTGTGAAGTCTTGAGAAACATTAGACATCGGAATTTGGTTAAGGTTCTCACAGCATGTTCAGGAGTTGACTATCGAGGGAACGATTTCAAGGCTTTGGTTTACGAGTTTATGGTTAATGGATGCCTCGAAGACTGGTTGCATCCTAGTCCAAGTGAAGATACAAGTCAGGCAGCTGAAACAAAAAAGTTGAATATTCTTCAAAGGCTCAACATTGCTATAGATGTTGCTTCTGCAATCGATTATCTTCATCTCCACTGCGAGACTCCAATAGTTCACTGTGATCTCAAGCCAAGCAACATTCTTCTAGACAACCAATTGGTCGGGCACATTGGTGATTTTGGTTTGGCAAAGTTCCTTCAACCAACTGCACAAAATTCTTCTATTTCGGAAGGAAGCTCTGGTCTTGTTAGAGGAACAATTGGTTACACTGCTCCAGGTAACAATTAATACATAAACAAACACTCGAACGCCCTTTTTTTCTCTCATTTCTTCTATTTTTTCTTGAAAATGATAAATTCATAGCAAAACCACACTGCTTAACCATAACTTTCTTCGACAGAGTTACTTTATCAATATCATAAACCATCTCTTAATTGTTACACACATACTGCCATTACTTTTATAAAATCAAGTCATACTAAGTTATGTCCCTATTAGGAAAGTTATTGTTCCTTGTCTTTTTTTCTTTTGTGAATTTTAGAATATGGGATGGGAAGCGAGCTATCGACTTGTGGTGATGTGTACAGCTTCGGGATCCTTTTACTAGAAATGTTCACCGGAAAAAGGCCTACTGATGGAATGTTTAGGGATGGTTTAGACCTTCCAAGCTTCGCTAAACATGCATTGCTTAATGGAGCTATGGAAGTCATAGATCCATCCCTTATTTACGGAAGTGAAGAAGACGAGAAAGGTAAAAGCACAAATATCTACCAGAATAAGGTGTATCTGGTTTCTGTTCTTCGAGTCGGGGTTGCTTGTTCTGCATATTCTGGAGCTGAAAGAATGAACATCACTGAAACTGTTTCCCAATTGTACTCTATCAAGGAAGCTCTTCTGCAATCAGAAAAAAATTCAGGAGCACGTTGAAAATATCGTTTCTTTTCTAGTTATATAATTAACCATGTCTTTGTCATAGTTACCTATGAGTATAATAATCTTTTTCTTCAGTACTTAGTCCCT